TTTAAAAATAAGTGCATTCTGTTCTTGCTTATGAAATGGCAGTATCTATTTACACTCCTCAATAGCAGCTATATGATTCCCATTGATCCTCTCCAACATTTGATAATGTTAGAGACATCATTTTTACTAATTCGATAGATAAAAATTGGTATTTCTTATGGCCTCAAACTTTCATATGCCATACATAAGAAGACTGAGTATCTTTTTGTGTTTATTAACTATATGAATTTCCTCTTAAGTGAAATTCTTGTGGGTGACAGAGAATTACTTATATTCATATGTTGCTCTGTAGTCAAGTATGGCCAAGTGTGTTCTGGCCCGAAAGATATGACTGTAAGAAGTTGGTCTCTACCAAGTCTAGCCCTTAAAAACATGCAATGTGATGCTATCTTGCTCTGCCACATCAATTTTAGAGGCCATATGGTCCAGGTGGCATAATTACAGGATGGAATAGGGCCTCTCAAACTGCCATACTTTCCATGAAAATGGAACATCCCTTACACTTTTGCTTTAGGGTAAAACATTTTGTAGTAAATTTTTATTTCACTTTCATTTTGATAGTTCTGCTGGGTACAGAATTCCAAGCTGGTAATTTTCTTTCTTATTTAATCAAAGACTAGTAATAAACATAAATACAGCACAATTAACCTAAGATCACTCTTCATACTGTATACACACAATGTATATAGACTATATACAATCTGAAAGAAACCTGCATTCAGCAGTCAAATGTTTAGATTTTCCTTCCCTCCCTAAAGAAAATTTTTTTAACCACCCAAATTTAGAATTTCATCAACATACACTCTCCTGTAACCAACAGTTCAGACATAGAAACTGCAAAAACAGGATGCTAACATGAACCTCTGTTAATAATAAACAAACAGAAGCAGCCATGATTGAGATGTATTGTTACTGACAACTGTGCCCTAAGGTGCAATATCAAAAGATTGTGATGCAGAGAAAAGCTATATATACATACACAGTAAGAAAATAAACTTCACAATTAACACATGCATGTTTAATTCTGGAAAAATCACAGCCCTCCAAAATTTCTCCACATTTCAAGCTGACAGTTATTTTTCTCTCAAAAATGTGAAGATTTAATTCCACTCTTTTTGGTGGTCATTGTTGCTGGTAACTTATTATTTCTATTTGGTGATCACTCCATTTATCTGACTGCCCGCTTAGGTATTGTTCAGGCCTCTGAAGAATAGCTTAGGTATGGATTTCTTTTTATTTGTCCTATATGGTAGGGATGAAAGGATTCAATTACATAATTTTAAGAAAATCACAATCACAGCCTCTTCCTTGTTTACAAAGATTCCGATTAGATATATTAGACACTTTCATTTCATCCTGTAGGTCAGGGATTGGCAAACTCTTAGTAAAGAGATGAGATAGTAAATATTTTAGGCTTTAAGGGCCAGTTTGTTACACCTATTGAACTCTGTCATTATAGCACAAAAGCACCCATTGGCTGTATATAAAAAAACATGAGTACATCTTTCTTCCAGTAAAACAAAAACAAGCAAGCTAGATTTGACTTATGGGCTGTATTCTGCCAATCTCTGCTATAGATAGATCTCTTAATAGCTCTTAACATTTCTTTCTCCCTGTCTGTGCTATATCCTGGTACATTTACTATATATAATTTCTAGCTGATTTTCTCTTTACAGGTGTCTAATTGTTTTAACCCATCCACTGGGTTTTTGTTTTTAGTTTATTTCAACACTTTCTTTCCCAGAAGTCTCACATTTTCCAAATCTACCCATTTTCCTACAAAAATCTTATTTTTTTCAACATTTTACAAATAGCTAGTCTACTGCAGTCCAGGGAAGAGGGTGATGAACTATATTTGTTGTTCATTGTTTCTGCTCTCACCCACTGTGGCTTGCTTTTTTGTGTCATTCATCTTTTAATACTAATTCTTTTTACCTTAATTTGTGGTGATTGTGCTTATGTCTCTAGCCAGCCTAAAACCACTTCAGCCTCCTGACAACCTTCCCTCCACAATGGTCCTGGCATGTCAGAGACCTCGAGAAAGCCCTACCATTGCAGTTGCTTACTGCTCTCCTCCCAACCAAATGTGTGTGGCAGGGAGGGCAGTGGTCCCGAGAGAGCTTCCCCTGCCTCTGAGACTGGCAATGCCTTAGAAAATGGGTCTCATGCAGGATATATTTGTAATGCTAGAAACAAAATTGGTAGGTCTCTAAACTTAATTCTAATCCAATCCAATCAAAATTCTAATGTTTATTTTCAGTCAACTTTTACAAATTGGATATAAAGTGATTATAAATTTCTTAGAGTGAGAGCTATTGGAAGTCAAAGATTAAGTAAACTATGACAGCATAAATGATAATTCATTTAGAAAAAAAGAAATATGGTTCCCTATCTCCCATGTGTTTCTGTAACCACAACAACTTCATAGGTGCCAAGCAGGTAGTCAGATTGAACAAGGATTTGGGTTTTGCCACGTGAATACAACAAGAAAGTAAATTATAATGAACAGAAACTTGCATAAGGAATGAAGTGGGGGTATGAAGGGGGGAAGCACCCATGAAAATCTTTAGGATTAATGGGTTCTAAGGTCATGGTGAGGCCTAATAATTGTTTGAGTCAAAGGCTTATCTGGAGTAAGCTAGAAAAAGATACGAGGAAGTAGTAAGAAACCAGAGTGCTTGAAACTGAGATCAAGCAAAGATTTTAATTATTGGCAATGACAAAGGAGTGGCTAAAGTTAATGAGCTATTTTGATCATTAGCAGAGAGGTCAAGGGACTGAGAAGTGTCCATTAGAGAAAAATACTGAGACAGAGACTAAAATCTCTGGTGAACAAGGAGTGAACCAGGGATGGTAAATGACTACGGGTGGTATAGTCTGATGATCATGACAAACTTAAAGCTGGGGATACAAAGGAGGAACGGGAGGTGGGGGAGGGTGGAGTGGGGAAGATGGTCCGCAAGTGGCACCCCAAAGGTAAGAAAAACACTAGTGAAGAAACAGGGACTAAATGAGAGCCTGCAAGAGAGAGCCAGGTTCAGTCAGAGCAGTGGTTCTCCAACTTCACTGTGTATTAGAATCACCTACAGAAAGTGTTCTACCAAGGATTATTGGACCCTACACCCGGAGTTTCTGATCCAGTAATTCTGAAATCTGAGAATTTGCATTTCTAAAACATTCTCGGATGATGCTAATGCAGCTGGTCCTGGGACCAAACTTCCAGACAACTCAAGAACAAAAAGAGGGAAAAAACAACCAAAAAAGTTTGATTATATCAGGAATGTTATTGATGACTGATCACAAATCCCAGAAAACACTATGAAACAGTTTTAGAAGTTGGAGAGGAGTAAGAGATGTGGACAGAAATGTGGTCCTCACAAAACTAGGCTTGAATTGAAGGCAAATATGTTACATGTAGTATTTCACACAGAAAATTAACAGAAATAAACTCCATACAAGAAGTTAAGAAAAGCCAAACAATCTTTGACTAAAAAATAATGCCTAATATAGTAAGGATCAGTTATAAGCTGGTATTTTCTCTGCTTAAGTGACTTCAACTAAGCTACCAAAAAGTTTGTTGACTGAGCAAAGGTTAAAGTATTAACATGGTTAAGCAAAACACTAATAACCATAACAGCTCTCATCAGGGCTGCCCCAGATGTTCATGGGAAAACTTCAAGTAAGCCATTATTCTTTAATATAATATGATGCCAATAAAACTGAACCTTATTTTTTCAGATGCAGACAATGATCGAGGATTCCTCAGTTTTATTAGTTATTTACCTAAAGGCAGCTGATGAAACATTTAATGTGTATTTGAGGGAAGTAAATCCTTACTATTTTCACTATGTCTTCAAAATGGAAAATGTTCCACATATTTTTAAAGTATTACATAATATGAAAAAGAGAAAATACTGACATGTCTTAAATGAAAACCAAAACCACCCTGTAATTCCCTCACCTAGAGCTAATCACTATGTATATCTGATGTATCTCCTTTAAAAAAATACACACACACACACATATACATATATATATACACACAGATATATCTAATCTATAATCTTTGATGAAAATAGCATAATGCATACTATTTATATATACACACACACTAATATCTTGGTTAAAAAATAGCTATAGTTGATTGGGTATGACTACCACTTTAATTCTAGCTGTTTCCTGGAGGTATCACCACCATTTTAGCTACTAGTTGATCATAATTTTGAAAATGGCTGTAATTTAAAGATATTTCAAAAAATTATATTGATTATAAAACAACTGAAGTCAAGAAAACTTTTCTTCTTTCTTTATATAATACAAACTTTGAATTTTTATTATAGGTGGCATCTATTAGTGCCTAAATCATGTTACACTTCAAGAGTGCAAAATGTTAAGATATATGAAGCAGATACACATGATTTATACATAATTGCAACTTGAGAATGATGAAACAAAAATAATTTACAGATTTAAATTAAAGACTATATAGTTAAGTAAAAATGCAAACATTCATTGCTATCACATATTTACATTAAAAAAATGTTTAAGTTCCTATAGAAACTTACATCATATTTACTATTATTTTGCTCAAATGTAACATCATCCAAACCATAGGTAACATTTTATTTAAGTAGATTTCAGTATCAACTTTGCATACAGAATTAGCAGAGAATTTTATGTAACGTGATGCTCAAAGAAACCAAGTATTATTTGTTAGAGGTTCTAAATATTTTTGAAGGTAGATATGTTATAAAATTTAAAAAACTCAAAAGGAACTGTTTTTTATATACTTTTATATATTTTTACATTTTTAAACAAGAAGGGGTTATTTCTTTTGGATTTTCTTTGCTTAGACAGGGCCTATAATACATAGCATACTATTATTTACAAAATAACATCTGGGAATTTATTCAGTTTTTAGGGATTAAAATTATAAAATTTCCTATAAATTATACCATTTAGAAAATGAACATATAGCTATTAAAAATATAGGTGAAAATTTTTAATCATTTTTGAGCCATCAAAAGTACAATATGAGATTGGTATCCTGGTGTTTGAAAGCAATCATTTTACCATATGCATCTTAATCTTTTATATCATTCATTTTAAGTTGATGGTTAATTTTAAAAAGTTTTAATCAAAGTTGTTTTCAAACATTGTCATAATGTCGCTTTGAAGAGTCATATCAATGGTACCAGCCATCTGTAGAAAGAAGGGAAAAAATTCAATGTTACATTAAAAAATGTATGCCTTCATTATAATTATATAAAAATGATTACACATTTGGAACAAATTATACAAAATGAACACTGTTGAACATAATGAGTTTATGCAATTTTCTATTTATGTTCAAATATTGTCTAATTTTTGTTAAAATATTGCTTGTGTGATAAATAAAGGTTAAAACTTACAAAAACACTAAGAACAAGTTTCACTTCCCTCTTCAACTAAGAGAGTAAAGTCTCGGCATTGGCAAAATATTAATAAGAATGTGAACTGAGATTATATTGTTTCATCTATCTCTGTAATCAACATAGTGTGCTAAGACACATAAAATTATTTTCTGAATGAACCAATATCTTAATTATTCAAAAAAGCTGTAATATGTCACATTAAAGCTACAGGCTTTCCTTGATTCTGCTACTTACAGTGTAACCTAGGACAAATTATTTAACCAAGTTTTTTACATATTGCCAAATATAGGTATTTATGAAGATCAAACCAGATTGCATATTTAACACTCAGCACAATGTTTTTCATTAAATGCTAAAAAGCCATTAAAAATAACAAAGTAAAAAAAAGCTAATTAAGACAAAGGAAATAAATGTTTCCTATATTCTGAAGCTTTCTACAAATGCCCATGTGATACAAGTTAGTCTTTGGCATCTGAAATGATACTATGAAATTTAAAAAAATATATTTCTTATCAGTAAACAGTAACAGCCCAGAGTGGTGGATAAATGTGCCAATTTGCAATCAATTGGGTTAACTTCTTTGATGAGATTCAGTATTCTCATCGGCTATATGGGAGAAGATTTGGAATAATGATTTATCTACCAAAAGGATAATATGTGTGAATCTTATAAACTACAAATATTTTTTTTTAAATATGCCATTAAGCAAAATAATTTTTTTTTGAGAGAGTGCATGTGAGCAGGAAAGGGACAGAGGGAGAGAGAATCCTAAGAATCCCTCCCTAAGGGAGAATTGTGGGGCTCAACCTCAACAACTACGAGATCATGACCTGACCCAAAATCAAGAGTTGAATGTCTAACCAACTGTATCACCCAGACACCCAAGAATAAATTCTTAAATCTTTACCCAGGTTACTTTTTTCCTTTTTTTTTTTTTTTTTTTTTTAATTTTAAGGTTTTATTTCTTAAGCAATCTCTATACCCAATGTAGGATTGAACTCACAACCCTAAGATTAAGAGCCTCATGCTCAGTTGGTTAAGTATCTGACTTTGGCTCAGATTGTGATCTTGCAGTCAGGAGTCTGAGCCCTACGTTAGGCTCTCTGCTGACAAGCTCAGAACCTGAAGCCTGCTGTGGTTTCTGTGTTTCCCCCGCTCCCCCTCTCCTGCCCATGCTGTCTCTCTCTCAAAAATAAACAATAGGAAAAAAAATTCACAATCTAGAATTCTATATCCAGCAAAAACATATTTAAAAAAACAAAGGCAAGTTTAAAACACATCCAAACAAAAACCTGCCACACAAAAATTTATAGTGGTTTACTGTAATTGGTGTAAGCTGGAAACAACCAAGATGTCTGTCAATAGATGAATGGATAAACTGTGGTACATCCATATAATGGTAGTATTTATTCAGCAAAAAAAAAAAAAAAAGCTACAAAAAGACAGAGGAATTCATATTACTTAAATGAAAGGAACCAATATGAAACATCTACGTATTGTATGATTCCAACTATATGACATTCTGGAAAAGGCCAAACTCTGGAGATAATAAACAGATCAGTGGTTGGAAGGGATGAGTAGGAAGCACACAAGCAACTTTTTTTTTTTTTAAAGAAAAATAGACTTTAAAAAATGTTTTATTTATTTTTGAGAGAGAGCACAAGTAGGGTAGGGGCAGAGAGAGAAGGCAACAGAGGATCCAAAGTAGGCTCCACGATGATAGCAGTGAGCCCAATGTGGTGTTTGAACTCCCAAAATGTGAGACCATGACGTGTGCTGAAGTCAGACATGCAACTGACTGAGCCACCCAAGCACTCCTAGGAGACTTTTAAGAAAGGGAAATTATTCTTTTTTAAATTTTTTTGTAGGCTCCATACCCAGCATGGAGCCCAATGCAGGGCTTAAACACTCAACCCTGAGATCAAGACCTGAGCTGACATCAAAAGTTAGATGCTTAACTGACTGAGCCACCCAGATGCCCCAGAAAGGGAAATTACTCTGATGGTACTGTTATTGTTGATCGAGGGTCACCATACATTTGTCAAACCCATAAAAAGCACAACACTAAGAGAATGCTGAAGTAAACTATGGATTTTGCTTGATAAACTAAGGTTGACAGTGATGTGTCAATGGTGGTTCATGGACCGTGGGATGCTGATGGTGTGGAAAGTTTTGTGTTGATGGGGGCAGGGAAGGAGTATGTGGAAACTGTATTTTAGGCTCACTTTTTCTGTGAATCTAAAATTCCCTAAAATATAAAGCCTATTACTGATACAAAAAGGCCAAATAAAGATATTTTCAGATACACAGAAGCTGAAAGAAATCATCACCAACTGACCTACACTACAAGAAATAGTAAAAGTCCTTAAGGAAGAAGGAAATTGTATCATTTGGAAATCTGGAACTAAGTGAATGAAGAGCACTGGAAATTGTAACTACACAGGTAAATGTAAAATTCTAACTTATTTAAAACTTTTAAAAAGGTTATTTGATGGCTTAAATATTTGCATAAAAGCATGGAAAGGAGAAATGGAAGTGTACTGTTGTAAAGCTATTCTATCAAATGTGAAGTAGTATAGCATAACTCACAGGAGCACTGTACTAAGCTAATGTATGCACTACAAACCAGAAAGCAACCATGAAATGACAAAGTGTTACTGATAATAAGCCAATGAAGTAAATAAAATGGAATCATAAAAATACCTGATTAAAAGAATGCAGGAAAAAAAGAAAAGAAACAAAAAGAAAGGACAAACAGAAAAGAACAAGATATCACACTCAAACTTAACCATATCAATAATCATAGTGAATGCAGTTGGTCTAAACGCTCCTATGAAACACAGCATTGGATTAAGAAAAAAAAAAAAGACCTCACTACATTTTGCCTACGTGAAACTCACTTCAAATATAAAAACACAGGTAGGTTAAAAATAAAAGGATAAAAACATTTTTTTAATGTTTTTTATTTATTTCTAGGAGAAAGAGACAGTGTGAACAGGGGAGGGTCAGAGAGAGAGGGAGTGACAGACTCTGAAACAGGCTCCAGGCTCTGAGTTGGCAGTCAGCACAGAGCCCGACGCAGGGCTTGAACCCATGAACCGCAAGATCATGACCTAAGCGAAAGTCGGACACTCAACCGACTAAGCCACCCAGGTGCCCCGGATAAAAACATTTTTTAAACCATGCAACACTAGTCATACAAAAGGTGAAGTGGTTATATTTCAGAGTAAATAATAATATCGGGAATCAACAAGATCATTTTGTAATGAAAAAGGGGGTCAATCAATCAAGAGGCCATAAAAACCCTAAATATTTAGGTACCGAACACTGCAGCATCAAAATACATGAAATCAAATAGAATTACAAGGATGAAAAGACAAATCTACAATATATAATCATAGATGCCAATGTCCCTTTGATATCTGATAAGCACGCAGAAAATCAGCAAGAATATAGGAGTCTTGAACGACATGATCAACCAACTTGGATACTCACCAGCAGCAGAACATACATTCTGCACATGTGCACACGGAGTATTTATCAAGGTAGAGCATAATGCGAGCCATTAAAAAAGTTTCAGTGGGGGTGCCTGAGTGGCTCTGTCAGTTAAGCATCAATTGTCAGATCGAGCCCTGAATTGGGCTTTGCAGTAAGCTGAGAGAGTGGAGCCTGCTTGGGATTTTCACTATCTCTGTCTGCCCCTTCCCCACTCATGCTCCCTCTCTCAAAAATTAAAAAAAAGTCTCAATGAATTTAATACATTATATATTCTCTGTTTAATTAGAAATTAATAACAAATTATGAGCCAGATAATTCCCAAATACTTGTAAACTAATATACTCCTAAATAAATAATCCACGGATGAGGGGCACCTGGGTGGCTCAGTTAGTTAAGTGTCCGACTCTTGATTTCAACACAGGTCATGATCTCATGGTTTGTAAATTGAGCCCCAAGTCAGGCTCTGTGCTGACAGCATGATGCCTGCTTGGGATTTTCTCTATCCCCCCCTCCCTGCCACACCCTGCTCTCAAAATAAATAAACTTAAAAATGAAACAATAAATAATCCATGGGTGAAAGAAGAAACCAATTCTGGTTTTTAGAACGTCATTTTCAGGGTGACTGGTTGGCTCAGTTGGTTGGGCGTCTGACTTCAGCTTAGGTCATGATCTCATGGTTTGTGGGTTTGAGCCCTGCGTTGGGCTCTGTGCTGACAGCTAGCTCAGAGCCTGGAACCTGTTTGGGATTCTATGTCTCCCTCTCTCTGACCCTCCCCTGCTCATGCTGTCTTTCTCTCTCTCAGAAATAAATAAGCATTTAAAAATTTTTAAAAAAACATCATTTTCTGTGTATTAAGACTCCTAAACATGTCAGGTTTTTTTTTTTTTTGGTTTTTTTTTTTGCTTTCCAATCTTATTAAGATACAATTGACACATAATAGAAGTCAACTTCTTCATCTAGTGTTCAACTAAAGAAACACCTGGGACAGATGGCATGACTTTGGGCCACAATTTATAGATAGTTTATTGATTTTTCAAGAGTAATAACAGGAAGTAATGAACCACTTTACCTATGTGCCAGGCACTTTCCTGTGTGTTTATTACATATAAATTCATTCCATCTTCAAAATAGGCATTATTTTTTACAGACAAGGAGATTGAGGGACAGAGGGGTTAAATAAATTGCCCAAGCCCCAAAGTCTAGTAAATGGCAGAACTAGTATTTGAACCCATGCAGTCTACTAGCTCTAAGACTATAACTTTATGATTATATTCTAGATCTTTGAATATAAAATTTTTATTTTAGGCTCTGATTTTAGAACTTGATCCTCACTAAAGATGTAACTCCACTGTCGCTGAAAACCACCCTGAATATATCTTTGAACATGTAAAAGACAATACTCCATTAAATCATTCCTTAGTTAAACTTAATGAACTAAAATTTACTTACTGCTTCTCTCCTCCTCCGCTCTTGCTCTTTCTCCCTTGCTAAATTACGGTCTTTGGGAAGCAAGACTTTGTATTTATCTTGAGTTTCCGAGGACTTCTGATGTTCTTTCTGCTCTTTTCCAAGGCACTGGTTTTGCATTTTGTTTGAAAAAGATTCTTGAGTAAAGCCAAGGTCCCTTAAAGAAACAGTATAGCTCAAAGTGGGTTTCAGGTTCCTTAAAAGTTTTTATTACTAAGATATGTTATTAAATGATAAATATAAAGCAATATTTTAGATTCCCCCTTGTAATGTAATTTTTAAGCTTGACTTTTGATGTCAAATTTTACAAAGGCAATCTATATTAACAAAGAGGTTTATATAGAAACTCTGACCAACGTTATATAAAAGTGTATGTTCTTACACATAGAATGGAAACAATATTAAGACATTTCTGGCAAACAACAATGTCTTTCTAATTTAGTTACATTAGTATCTTTAATAGCTTAATCACATGATAATTTCTATCCTCTTCAAAGTAGATACTACTTGTTAATTAAAAAATCAACAAAAATTTGCTTTTTGCAATTATAATTTGCTCTGTAGTCTACTAAATAGCTTAATCATGGTCACTTGACAAAAAAAGAAATTTAATATATTTAGAATTACATGTCCACCATAGGGAATGGAGTTGCTACACATAGTCAATGCATGCAGATATGAATAAATACTTGAATAAATAAAAAGGAGCTGATAAAAGAAAAAAAAAGTCTGTATCTCCCGAGCTGTAATCCAGTAAATTACAGACCTCTGATATTCTTGAAACACTTTTGGTTCCTTTGTATTCTGTTCTAGATGTTTCCGAATTAGTTCCTGTGTTCGAGCTTTTACTTCTTTTTCTATTGCTGCTTTTCTAAATTGGTTGAAGAGCTCATCTGAGGATTTTAGTACACCTGATGTTTTGACTGGTTTGCCTAAACTTTTCCAAGAGTCTGCATTCTTGATCTTTATATCCTAAAACAAATAGTTGATTCAGTCTGTGTCTACAGATGTCAACCACATTTTGGAAGGAAAATGATTTTTGATATAGTAATAGGTCCCATAAGATTCTAAAGAACTTTATATAATTTTTTTAAATACTTAAGTTAAAAGTAACTGATGTCAGAAAAAATACGAAAATATGATTAGCAGATAAACCCATTAATCATCTAAGACCAACTTAAAATAGCATACTTATCAATTATTTCAATTTAATGTAAAACATATACAAGTTGACCCGTGAACAACATGGGGGTTAGGGGTGCTGATGCATAGTCAAAAGTCCATGTATAACTTCTGACTCCTGCCTCCAAAAACCTAATTGCCTACTATTGACTAGAGGCCTTACTTAACCAGTGACATAAGCAGTCAATTAACATGTTTTCTATATGTATTATATACTGTATTCTTACTGTAAAGTAAGCTTGAAGAGAAAATATTATTGAGAAAATCACAATGAAGATAAAAAGATCTTTACAGTATTATATAAAAAAAGCTGGCTATAAGTAGACCCACACAGTCCAAACTCTGTTGTTCAATGCTCAACTGTTATTAAAAAAATATTTTTTAACAGTATTCATTTTTGAGAGAGAAAGAGTGTGAGCGAGGGAGAGGTGCAGTGAAAGAGAGAGAAAGGAGAGAGGGAATCACAAGCAGGTTCCAGGCTCTGAGTTGTCAGCACAGGGCTTGGTGCAGAACTAAAGTTCATGGACTACGAAATCATGACGTGAGCTGAAGTTGCATGCTTAACCCACTTAGCCACCCAGGTGTCCCAAGGGTCAACCGTATATTAGGAGTATGAGAATCTGCAAAGAATATAAAAATAAGTAAACTAGTCACTTTAAAAAAAAAAGATATTTTTGGTCCTGTAGGGAAAATAAACCAACATACAAATTATTAATAAGAGGCAAAGATTATGCCTTACTTGTTGGGAACCCTCTGACATGCCTTTGTCTTTCCTTTCTTAAAAATTAACTGATTATGACTGCTGTTCTTTTTTTTTTAATTTATTTAATTTACATCCAAGTTAGTTAGCATATAGTACAAAAATGATTTCAGGATTCCTTAATGCCCCTTACCCATTTAGCCCATCCCCCATCCCACAACCCCTCCAGTAACCCTGTTTGTTCTCTATATTTAAGTCTCTTAAGTTTTACTCCCCTCTGTTTCTATATTATTTTTGCTTCCCTTCCCTTATGTTCATCTGTTTTATATCTTAAAAGTCCTCATATGAGTGAAGTTATGTGATTATGTGTCTTTCTCTGACTAATCTCACTTAGCATAAAACCATCCACATAGTTGCAAATAGCAAGATTTCATTCTTTTTGATTCCCGAGTAATACAATACTCCATTGTATATATGTACATATATGTATATATACACACGTATATATATACATATACACGCATATGTACATATATATACACACATATACACATACATGTATATGTGTGTATATATATGTACGTGTATATATATGCATATATACGTGTGTGTGTATATATATGTGTATATATACACATAAAGAAGATGTGGTGTGTGTGTGTACATATATACACACACACACATATATATATATACATATATATGTATACATATATATATGTATACACACACATACCACATCTTCTTTATCCATTTATCCATCGATGGACATTTGGGCTCTTTCCATACTTTGGCTATTGTTGATAGTGCTGCTATAAACATTGGGGTGCAGGTGTCCCTTTGAAATAGTATACCTGTGTCCCTTGGATAATTACCAAGTAGTACAATTGCTGGGTGATAGGATAGTTCTATTTATAATTTTTTTGAGGAACCTCCATACTGTTTTCCAGAGTAGCTACACCAGTTTGCATTCCTCTTTCTCCGCATCCTCGCCAACATCTGTTGTTGCCTGAGTTGTTAATGTTAGCCATTCTGACAGGTGCGAGGTGGTATCTCACTGTGGTTTTGATTTGTATTTCCTTGATGATGAGTGATGTTGAGCATTTTTTCATGTGTTGGTTAGCCATCTGGATGTCTTCTTTGGAGAAGTGTCTATTCATGTCTTTTGCCCATTTCTTCACAGGATTGTTTTTTTGGGTGTTGAGTTTGTTAAGTTCTTTATGGATTTTGAATACTAACCCTTTATCTGATACGTTGTTTGCAAATGTCTTCTTCCTTTCTGTTGGTTGCCTTTTAGTTTTGCTGACTGTTTCCTTCGCCGTGCTGAAGCTTTTTATTTTGATGACATCTCAATAGTTCATTTCTGCTTTTTGTTTCCCTTGCCTCTGGAGACGTGTTAAGCTGCTGCGGTGGAGGTCAAAGAGGTTTTTGCCTGCTTTCTCCTTGAAGATTTTGATGGCTTCCTATCTTACATTTAGGTCTTTCATCCATTTTGAGTTTGTTTTTGTGTATGGTGTAAGAAAGTGGTCCAGGTTCATTTTTCTGCATGCCACTGTCCAGTTTTCCCAGCACCAGTTGCTGAAGAGACTGTCTTTATTCCATCGGATATTCTTTCCTGCTTTGTCAAAGATGAGTTGGCCATATGTTTGTGGGTCCATTTCTGTGTTCTCTATTCTGTTCCATTGATTATGAGTGTCTGTTTTTGTGTCAGTATATGACTGCTGTTCTTAAAGGAAATGTGTCATGATCTTGAGCAGTGCAAACCAATAGAAATATATGAGGTTTAAAAATTTCCAGTACAAGGATTATATATGGAATAAGGTGGAGGAAGAGGATCCTAAGCCTACCTTGTTCCATAGATACAACTGGGTAACACACACATCAATGTAAGTAACCCAGAAAATGACCAAGGACTGGCAAAACAGACTCTACACAGCTAAATATAGAGAAGAGGCCACATCAAAGCAGGTAGGAAGGGCTGAGAGGCAGTGGGAAGCTAAACAGATGCAATGGACTCTCTGTGGGACTGTCTGCAGGAGAGAGGATGCTGATTGCAGGGAGGGGAAAGAAACAGACACCTCAGGCACCAGGAAGATGAAGCCCCATAATATTTGGTTTTGAAAGATAGGCCAAATTTCATAAGTTCTTACAGTCAGCAGGTCTTTAACACCTGAAACATTAAAAGTCAGAGGGCTCTGATCTTGGAAAATGGGGAAGGTGGAGTCCAAGTACTTAAATATACCTTTGACAGGACCATCCAGAGTGATTCCACAACCACAGCAGTGTGCAAACAGCCCTGAAAGGGCCAGCACCACTCCAAAGTGACCCCTACCATGAGAAAAGAGAAAGATAACCACATATGCCAATCCAGCTGCAGCCCCAGGAATGGGCTGGGGGCAAACATCTATTCTGGCCGCAGTACCCAACCACCAATGAAAGCTTGTCACAGTGGGGCACCTTGGTGGCTCAGTCGGTTAAGCAACTGACTCACTGTTCGTGAGACTGAATCCTGCATTGGGCTTTGTGCTAACAGTACAGAGCCTGCTTGAAATTCTATGTCTTTCTTTCTCTCTCTCTGACCCTCCCTGACTCTATCTCAAAATAAATAAACAAACATTAAAAAATAAAGAAAGAAAGCTTGTCAGGGCAAAACACAGAAAAAGATCCCAGAAATTCTATGCTACTGCATCTCTTGCAAATGCTGGGTCTGACTCAACTCAAACCCAAGGCAAGTAAAAACTGGCTCATTAAGAACAAGGGACCAAATCCTACCTATAACAGGCAAAGAGAGCCATTGCAGATGACTGGGCTTAAGGCAAAAGTGGCTTAGCCACAACAGTAAGGCACACACAGCACACATAAGAGATACCTCTGGAACTCCAGATTCTGGTGAACAGGGGCCACTGAGTTGTAGGGCTCTACAGAACCTCTTTTCCAAAGGCCATTATTTTCTTTTTTTTTTTTTTTTTTAATATTTTTTTATTTATTTCTAGGAGAAAGAGAGAGCGTGAGCAGGGGAGGGTCAGAGAGAGAGGGAGTCACAGACTCCGAAACAGGCTCCAGGCTCTGAGCTGGCAGTCAGCACAGAGCCCGATGCGGGGCTTGAACCCATGAACCGCGAGATCATGACCCAAGCGAAAGTCGGACACTTAACCGACTAAGCCACCCAGGCGCCCCCAAAGGCCATTATTTTCAAGTGTAGGAGATGTAGATGACTTTCATAACACACAGACACAGACACAAAGAGTTAGACAAAAAGAAGAGACAGAGGAATGTGTCCCAAATGAAAGAACAGGACAAATTCGCAGCAAGATATCTAAATGAAAGAGATAGGTAATATGCCTGATGGAAAAGTTAAAGTGTTGGTCATAACTATACTCACTGGACTTCATACAAGAGTCAAAGCGACTTCAGTGAGACCATTAAGAAAGAGAGAAAACATAAAAAAGAACCAATCAGAGATGAGAAACTCAGTAACTGAAATGTAAAATAAACAAGGTGGTAGAAATAGTAGACTCGAGGAAGCAAAGAATAGATTAGTGACCTGGAGTAAGGAGTAATGGAAAAAAAGCTGAAAAGGAGACAAATAATAATAATGATAGATGAAACGACACTTAGGGAGCCCAGCAACACCATCAAAAGTGTTGAGAAGAAGAGACAGAAAAAGGGCAATTTATTTGAAGAAATAATAACTAAAAACTTCCGAAATCTGGGGAAGGAACCAGAAATCCAGATCCAGGAAGCACAGAAAGCTCCCAACAAAAATCAACCCAAGAAGGTCTACTCCAATACAATATAGTAATTAAAATGGCAAACCATAGTTTTAAAAGCAGTAAGGGGCGCCTGGGTGGCTTAGTCGGTTAAGCGTCCGACTTTCGCTTAGGTCATGATCTCGCGGTTCATGGGTTCGAGGCCCGCATCGGGCTCTGTGCTGACGGCCAGCTCAGAGCCTGGAGCCTGTTTCAGAGTCTGTGTCTCCCCCTCTCTCTGACCCTCCCCTGCTCATGCTGTCTCTCTCTCTCTCTCTCCTAGAAATAAATAAAAATATATATAAAAAATTTTTTTTTTAAAATAAAAGCAGTAAGAAAAA